CACCTCGGCCTCCCAAATTGCTGGGATTACAGGCGTGAGCCACTGCGCCAGCCCACTAACATATTTTTGAAATCAGTGTTATTCCTATTGCAACAGTCCTTTTGAATAAAGTTTCTCCCTATCTTGTTTTTCTTTGACAAATGATACATACTATAATACAGATGACTTGAAAATGTATTATTGTTAAGTGAATGAAGTCAGATTCTACAGTTGCCAGCTGCAGGATTTCATTGATGTGACATTCTGGAAACGCAAAAGTGTAAGAACAGAAAACAGATCAGTGGTTGCCAAGGGCTAGGGGCAGAGGAAGAGATATTCTACAAAGGGACATGAGGGAATTTGGAGTGGGTGGGTATGGTTCTATATCTTGACTTTTATGGCAGTTACATGAATATATATGTTTACCGTAGAAATCTACACCAAAAGAGTGAATTTTACTGAATATACCTTGTAATACTTTAAAAGTCCCTGCCAACTTTCGTTCATTTAATATACATCTACAAGAATAACAGGGAGCTTCAGCTTCAGTTCTAGACAGTGGAAAAGATGGGTAAGATTGGATGATCTTAAGCAGTAAATATTGTTTGGATTTTGGCTCATATAAAAATATCAGCCTTTATTCTTTCTGGTTCTACACTAATGCAAAATTGTCTTACAGGTTCAGAATACTAAGACTTCCATAATTCTTTTTTGTTGTTACTAGGGTAATGTGTAACTCAACCCTTAAAATTTCCCCCAAATCTCCCATTTGCCTCTCTTAATCATCTTCTAAATGTCCCTGCTTTCTCTTCTTCTTTTTTATATCTCTGGTTCCTCCTGCTAATACTGAGAGAGCCAGGCATGAAGGGGTCCCTGGAGAAACTCCAACTAGCCTGCCCACTGAGGTGGAGCCTTGGGAAGTTCACAAGGTTTGCAGCAGGGAGAAGCCTGAGTCTGGCCCCTCTTTTTTATGTGTGGAACCTGGGATCCAAACGGCCAGGTGGGAAGCACTCCAGCGGAAGGACTCTGGCCTTGCCAAAGTAACTGTTTCCCCCCTTTTTTCCATTTTTCACCCAATAAAACTCTGCTTCATACACTCTTTAAAGTATCTGTGAGCCTGAATTTTCATGGCTGTGGGACAAAGAATCCCATTTTTAGCTGAAATAAGGAAAGGTCCTGCAGCAATATTCCCACATGCATCTTGTTCCATTTCCCTCTCTTGCTCACTTACTTCTCTTCTACTTTTCTAATAGTGTGTCCTGACTCCTGCAGATTCATATCACTCTTAAAGTACACACTGAACACAATACTCTTCAGACTTCTAGTTGGAAAAACAACATTAGGAATTATCTCTCAGAAGAACAAAGAAATAAAGCATTATTGGATGGCCGAATAGGAATAGCTCCAGCCTCCAGCTCTCAGTGTGAGTGACACAGAAGATGGGTGATTTCTGCATTTTCAACTGAGGTGCAGACTGACACCTCACACCTCACACCTCACACGGCTGGGTACACCTCTGAGATGAAGCTTTCAGAGCAAGAATCAGACAGCAACACTTGCTGATCAGCAATATTCTGTCTTCTGCAGCCTCTGCTGCTGATACCCAGGCAAACAGGGGCTGGGGTGGACCTCAAGCAAACTCCAACAGACCTGCAGCTGTGGGTCCTGACTGTTAGAAGGAAAACTAACAAACAGAAAGGACACCCACACCAAAACCCCATCAGTATGTCACCATCATGAAAGACCAAAGGCAGATAAAACCACAAAGATGGGGAAAAAACAGTGCAGAAAAGCTGGAAATTCAAAAAATCAGAGTGCATCTCCCCCTCCAAAGGAATGCAGCTCA